CTATGACGCAAGTTCTCCTGCTGACTTGAATAGCAGCAGAATTAGATCCACAGTGAGCGCTCCCTTTGCTTCCAACAAGCAGCTTTTGCCAAGCAGCAGCAATAAGCCCAGAGGCACGGCTCCATCCTGTTCCGCAATTCCTGCATCCAAGGGCTGCCGGGGACCCTGACAGTGAGCAGCTGGTTCCCCAGGCTACTGCTCCCAACAGCACCACTGACAGGTCAGAGCTCCCCTCCCACCTGCCCTGCGGCACCAAGTCTTCATAGAATCATAAAATCAGAGAACGGCCTGGGTTGGAAGGGACCTTAGAGATCATTTAATCCAACCTCCCTGTCATGGGCAGGGATGCCATTCTAAATACTTTTTGGAGGGGTCCCTGCAACCACTGACCCATGCCGACCCCCTGAAGCCAGAGTGAGAGCAGATCTGGTTGCAGGGCTACCAGAGAGTCCAATGGAGAGCTACGAGAAAGAACAAGGGTCTTGAACATCTCTCATACGAAGAAAGACTGAGAGAACTGGGGCTGTTTAGTCTTAAAAGGAGACGGCTGAGAGGGGACCTTATTAATGTATATAAATACCTGAGGAGTGGGGGTCAAGAGGAACGTGCCGGTCTCTTCACAGTGGTACCCAGTAATAGGACAAGGAATAATGGGTGTGAGCTAGAACATGGGAAGTTCCACCTCAACATGAGGAGAAACGTGTTGGCTGTGCGGGTGCCGGAGCCCTGGCCCAGGCTGCCCAGAGAGGCTGTGGAGTCTCCTTGGGACCTACTCCCTTCATCATCCTCGAAGCATCTCCTTGAGGATGATGAAGGGACTTGAACATCTCCTGCTCTGGAGACTTTCCAACCCGCCTGGACACATTCCTGTGGGGCTGCCCTGGGTGACCCTGCTCTGGCAGGGGGTGGCACTGGGGGATCTCAAGAGGTCCCTTCCAACCCCCAACATTCTATGATCCTGTGATTTTATGATTTTATGAAACCAGATGACTGAGGCCACGGGAGAGCTCTCCCACAGCTGGGGTCTTACCAGTCAGCCCTATCTTCTTCCGGCAAGTGAAACAACGATTCTTCTTCTTTTTCGGTTTTTCTGAAGCTGCCTTGCTCTCAGTGGTGTTCTGGGATATTTCAAGCAGGGTACCTGAAAGAGAGGCAAGCGTTTTGCTCCCCTTCTTGACACACGAAATGACACACTTGCTTTATAACAGGAGCTGCCTGAGGCCCTACCGATTCTGGGTCTGTTCCAGACACCTCCCTGAGCATGTTGCACTGGCTGACACAACCCAAACTTTGAAATTTGCCTTGTTTCACAGAGATCTACATCGCACCCAGCCTCGTATTTGCTCTCTGTTTCAAATTCCTTAAGTCCAAGGCTCGAAACCACCAAGGAGATACTACAGTTTAGCTAATGTACATGCAAAGGTAACGTGAAATCGTTCAGCTCCTGTTGAGAAAAGGCAATGGGTTAACCACGTGTCTGGATAGTCACTACAGCTTAGCTGACGTACAGTAACTCAACTGCACAGCTGAGCCCATAGTTAATCTTTGCGAGGGAAAAAAAAAAAGAAAAAATGAACTCCTTGTAAGTACTCTTAATTATTTTTGCTGACTCTTATGTAAGTGTTCCTCATATGTAGGTCTCAGAATGCTTTACACAGATACTCATCGCTGTCTCTAATCTACCAAAAGGAAAACTGAGCTCTGAAAGCCAGATCCTTAAAGGTCATAGATGCTTAGCAGGATTTCCTAGAGTACCTAAGCAGGTTAGAGAAGTCAACAGGAGGGAGGAGCTCCAACTGCTCACAGATACACACCTGCAGTGCAGGCTGCTCTGGAAATGAGGCTAAGGAGACAAAGAGTCAGAGGCAGAGACAGCTGTGTGCATCTGACCCTAAACAGCTTTATAAAAATTGCACAATCAGAAGAAAAGGGCTCTACCAAGCCTCTCTTGCACCAAAATAGTCTCTCACCTGCCTGTTGCAAATTGTCTCCTGGGCTTGCAGGCTGGGGATTACCAAATCCAAAATGCACAGTCATGTGCAGTGACTAGAGCCTGGGTTTTTTCGCAACCAACAACTCTTGGGGGTTTTTTTAGCTTTTGATGTGAGCAAACTGTCAGCTGAACTAAAGGCGGGTGTCTCCAGTTCAGCATCACTTGGAGACGGCTCCGCTGCAACGCGACGACTCACCCTGTCACTCATCCACTGGAGGATGCATCCCGCTGGGTGAAGACACCCGCGCGCCTCTATCGCTTCGAGGTACCCTCTTTGTGAACAAACGCTCCCCTCTGAGGGGCGGGTGCGCCTCCCGACACACGAGATGACAACCACCAGGCCAACAGCTGCCCCTGGGCACTGTCACAAACACGTCTCCTCTCTCCTAAGGCTACGCTGGACCCATCTTCCTTTCCTTCCTTGAGAGGCAGCAGGGAACCGCAGCCAATGCCAGCTGCGTGGCAGGCTGTGGGACGCTCCGGGCTTCCTGCCATTCACTAGGATAGGCATCACAGAAGATTATCCTCCTGCCAGCGAGTGGAGGGCTGGCAGCTCCTCAGCCCACAAAGCAGTCTCTCTTGGCCTGCCCTCAGGCACGGCATTTTCTCTCCTCTCTGTTTCATAAAAAGATAAACTGTTTTCTCCTCAGCTCTCGCGTAAGGCATACCTTTCCTGCCAGGAGGTAACAACTGTCTCCTGGAGTTAGTGGCCAGTATTGTACTTGCTGCTCAAATCCACTTGTGACATCGGTATCATTCAGACTTGGGCAAAGTCCAAACCAAGCAGCCTACCTGACGAGGAAGATTCTGATGAGGCTTCTTCTGTCTTGGTGAATTCTTCTGTCTCAGTGCTGTTTTCTTCTCTGGATATGCTCATGGCCGTCATCTGATGGGTCACAGGAGCTGGAGCACTGGGAGCATTTGCAAGAGAAAAACCAAACAAATAAACCATCGAGCAAAGATAAGTATTTTCTTTTGATGAAAAGGCATGTAGGAAGAGATCTTCAGCCCATGAAGTTAATTTAATTGTAATCAGAAGTAGTTCAGGAGTAGAGCAGGCCAATTCTCCTTGCAATTTGGGATCAAAGTTCTTTATAGATAACAACAGAATGGATCTCTGATGATCTCAGCTTCCTTGGCCACTCAGTTTTATCTCAAAGCCAAGACAACAGCCTGTCCAAGCATGAAAGAGTTATGAGTCAGGACTGCACCACGACAGTAGAGCTCGATGCAGCGCTTTCCCACCAATCGTGACCGAGGTCCCCGATCCTGCTGTCACAGCTTCCAGATGGGATCATCCCCAAGTGCTTTCCCTGAGGACCGAGTTGAAGCCCAACAGTTTAACATGGCCGAGGACAGACAAGGTGTGCTGGCTCCAAGAGAACCAGGATGCCACTGAGTTTACTACAGGTTTTAATAGTACTTGACTTTATGCATCATCAGGGACATCTCAATCTTCTGGATAAACCAATGAACAGTGCATGAACCAGCCTGCTTCACAGATCCCCTTGGCCATACGAAGGATGAGAACCTACCCTCATGACCAGAGCTGGTTTTTAGCACGGCTGTACATTCACACAGACCCTCAGGCTATGCTCCTACCTGGCTTTTGCATCTTCAGGCCTGGAGTCTCCCTCTGCACGCTGCCCAGCAATGGAATCTGAAGCCATGGGGCTACTGTTGGAACCACTGGGTGCTACGAAACAAGATCACAGTTTTGGTAAACTCTTAGAAATGCCAGCCAAGGAGAAAGCAGGACGAGCACTTTCAGCAGGCTTTAACCTCCTGCTCCCTCCCAGGAGCTGGGAGGGCACACCCCTGCTGGGATCCCTCACAAATTCTTATGTTCTCCCCTCAAAATCTGTGCACAGATCTCTGTGGGGATAATACCTCAGGGCTGGATGGACCTCACCATGACTCAGTGCAGCTATTTTTATATCACATCAGCACAGAGTCCTTGTATCAGGATCACAACATCTCCCTGAAATCAGCTGCTCATCTTCCTGAGGACTGCAGGCCTCATTTATGGAGATGTTTCCATATCCTCAGGATCTTTGTGTGTCCAAAGAAGGGCGAGGAAGCTGGCGAAGGCTCCCAAGAACAACTCTTACGGGGAGCAGCTGAGGGAACTGGGGTTGTTCAGCCTGGAGAGAGGGAGGCTGAGGGGAGATCTTATTGCTCTCCACAACTCCCTGAAAGGAGGTTGTGGCAAGGTGGGGTCAGGCTCTTCTTCCAAGTACCAAGCAACAGGAGAAGAGGAAAGGGGCTCAAGTTGTGCCAGAGAATGTGGAGACTGGATATTAGGAAAAATTTCTTCACCATAAGGGTTATCAAGCCCTGGAATGGGCTTCCCAGGGGAGCGGAGGAGTCACCATCCCCGGAGGTATTCAAAACCATGTAGATGTGGTGCTCAGAGACATGGGATAGTGGTGGCCCTGGCAGTGCTGGCTTAACGGCTGGACTCAATGGTCATAAAGATCTTCTCCAATCTAAATGGTTGTATGATTCTATTCTATGATCAGCGAGCTCCCTTTTAAAGGATGAGGGTTTATACGCAGGAGTTACGTGCTAAATGCCTTCCATTACTGGTGTGGTTTTTTAACATCTGGTAAAATCTGCCTTCTTTGATTCCCCTTCTCTTCCTCTGCGCTGCAAAGCAATTTTATCTTCTCTTCTCAGCACAGAAGTGCTGCAGTCACCAACGTACCTTGAACCCAGTGTTACTTTGGCACTTTTCCATGATATAAGAACCAGATCCTCATTTGCTGAAAGAAAGTGGCTTCAACAGAAACATGTTGCTTTATGTCAGCCGAGGATCTACTCAGAGTCTTTAGAAAAACCCTTTGTCAGGAATCCCTGTCGTCCTAATATGTATTTTGGGTGGGTAATTCAAGGAGAGGCATTATCACACTCAGGAACAGAACTGCAAAAGATCTCTACAAGGCATTTCTCACTGGTTTTGCAAAGTCTGTTCAGAAGACATCTACACAAACTCAGCAAAAGACAATCCTGTTAATGATGGAAAGAGAACCCTTCCTGCGCACCCAGCTGCCTCCCGGCTCGGTGATATGTCAGCTAAGTTTAGCTGTGAGAGACAAACCTCTTATGTATATATTTTGATTAAGACACAAAAATTAGACAAATCCAAAATTCAAAATTGTTTTCAGATAAAACTTCATTTCAGGGATCTGTCATGGTTCCCAGCAGCCAGCACGTAACTCAGGGAGCAGGTAACAGCTAAAAATCCGAGCTGCTTTTAGCTCTCTCTGAAGTTTTACGGTTTACTGGAAAACTCTTACTGGGACGGGGCTTCAGCTGGGACCGGGAAGAAAACAACTGACCCCCTCACAGGGAACAGAAGCACTCAAAGACTTGGGTCTTTGATTTAGTGACTTGAGTCTATGTGAAAAGGGCAAGACATGAGTTTCCTAGGAGGGATTAAATCTGCCAGTGGCCGGTACCACCAGTACCATGCTCTATCCCAGCTGCGAGATGCAGTTGGCATCCGGGCACCCACTTAAGACAGATTTCTCGAGAAAAATTCCTCTACCTGGGGGGTTTATCCGGTCACTGCTCTGCTGTCTCTGTAGAAACTCCTTGTAGCAAACGGAGCACATCCCGTTGGTCCGGGGGCTGCCATAAAACCCACAGCCTGTGGTACACAACAGAGGCACCTGCGTTTGGTTTGTCTCCTGAGCCATCCTCTCTCCTCCAAGGCGTCAAGCTACAAACAGGAATAAAAATGAGACAGCTGTTAAGGCCGGAGCGCTCGTCCCTCGTACGCTGCAGCTGGTCAGGAAGGAGCACAAAGGATCCTGAGAGAGGCCGGTTCCTGCACGTGTGCAACAGCGCGACCTGAGTCCGTTGAGCTCCAGAACCTGGAACCTGGTGCCTGGAACCACCCCAAACTCAGCTGCCAGGAGGCTGAAAAGCCGACAGGAACCAACTCACGGTGCTCCCTCCTTCACACCATGAGGCTCCCTAAACTCCTGGTGAAAGACAAGCGCGGAAGACCCAACTGATCTGCTCTCTAATGGTAACAAGAAGTACCATCGTGGCGTGACTAATGGATCCTGCAAACACTGAAACAAAGAATGCCACTCAAACAGCCAGCAGCCAGCCTAATTAGTCACATTTTGCGCTTAGTGGCATTTGGTTTTGTTTCAAGCCCATTTTACTTTTTTAGTTCTCAGGAAGATGATGTAAGCGATGCAAAAAAAACCACACTGACTTTCCGTTTGGACATTCTCATGCATTTCCCCGACACACGCTGGTGGATAAGCGGAACGTTAGCACAGTTAGGGTGGATATAAGAACAAGGTTTCTTTCCAGTGGCAAAATGCGATTCCAGAACACCTTCCCAGGGGAAACAGCAAACACAGTGGAACCTACTTTAGAAATGAATCTTGATCATTTCTCTCTGGTTCACACACAGCAACCTCCAAACCCAGGAACCGTCTGGCCCTTCCAGTCACTTTGGGGTATCATTTATACAGCCAAACTGCATCGCACCCCTTTAAACCACAACCATAAGCAAGAACACCTCGCAACAACAAACACCACACGCGTGCGAACAATATGGCCATGGCCAATCCAGCTTCGCTGGGTGACAAAGGGAGAGGGTGTTCACGGGACTGCGGCAGTGCAGGCAGCCCTGGCTCGGGCGTAAGGACGTGGCAATGCTACCAGGAGTCCCCTGCAGCAATCCCCTTCTCCCGGCACAGCAGATGCCCAAAGTATCTGCCGCTTTCTTTCACGCTCCTACAAAACTTGCTCCGCTGCGGGAATAAAACAATGGGAACATGAAATAATTACCCTCCCAGGTGCGCTCCTGTGGGATGAAAGTCGATCAGCTCTGGTTTGGTCTTCCTTGCCCTCAGCTGGGTGATACGAATCTCTGCTCTGCACTCGAGGCTCCGCTTGCAGACCTCAGGCCAGCGTTCCCATCACCAGAGCAGGCCTCCTTCCCAGCTCAAGCCCACTTCTCCTTCGGCACCAGCAGCCACGGGAGCTTCCGGACGGACCCGTTAGGAGTGGACCAGGCGGGCTGAATCCCCAGAGGTGACCAGATGGTAACCACTGCTGCACAAGGACGACTTTTCAGGAGCTGCTTCTTCTTTCGAGCGTCCCTGGAGAGAGAAGGCGATGGCTGCGGAGCCTTCGGCCAGGCTCAGCAAGCCCTTAGGAAGCAGCTTTAGCCACCGGCCCAGGGGCGACCTGCCCTGCACCGCAAAACCAGCAGAAACGAAACCGAACCGTGGGGGAAACCGAAGC